CCACACTGCTTTCCACAGAGGTTGCACTAGTTTACACTCCCAGCAACAGTGTAGGAGTGTTCCCTTTTTGCCACACCCTCTCCAACAACTGTTATTCTTTGAGTTATTGATAATTGCCATTCTGACTGGAGTTAGGTGGTATCTCAGTGTGGTATTGATTTTCATCTTCCTGATGATTAGTGAGGTTGAGCATTTCTTCATGTGTCTGTTGGCTACTCAGATGTCTTCCTTTGTGAAGTGTCTGTTCATATCTTTTGCCCATTTTATAATGGGGTTGTTTGTTTTTTTCTTTTCAGCATGTTTGAGTTCCTTATAGATCCAGGATGTTAAGCCTTTGTCAGACCTGGAGTTGGCAAATACTTTTTTCCCAGTCTGTAGGCTGTCTCCCTGCTCTCTTGATGGTTTCTTTGGCTTTGCAAAAGCTTGTCAGTTTAATGAGGTCCCACTTGTCTATCTTATCCCTTATGGCCTGTGGGTTTCGGGTTTTGTTCAAGCAAAACCTCAATTTCTCAACCAACTCATCTTTGACAAAGCCTCCACCACCTACCACTGGGGAGAGGAGAACCTATTCAGTAAATGGTGCTGGGAAAACTGGCTGACCACATGCAGAAGATTGAAACAGGACCCCTACCTATCCCCATATACAAAAATTAACTCCAAATGGATCAGTGACCTAAATGTAAAACCTCAAACCATAAGAACCTTAGAAAATGAAGGACATACCCTCATGGAAATTGGAACTGGCATCCAATTCCTGAACAAAGCCCTAAACTCTTAAAGGTAAGAGTGGATGGGGTGGTGCAACTCCTATAGGGCCTTGCAGAGACTGTGAAGACTTTGACTTTTACTGAGTGAGATGGGGTAGTGATTTAGGTAGTTTCCAGTTTTTGCTGTTATGTATCATGCTTTGTAATTTTTCTACACAAATCTTTGTTCTCATCTCTGAACACTTTCCTGGGGAAAATTCCTAGAAGTTAAATGTCTTGACCACAGACTAAGGATAATTTGAGACTTTTATTGCATATTGCCAAAAGGCTTTCTAGAAAGCTTGGACCCACTTACAATATAACCTAGTTCAACAAATACTTATTACATGCCTACTATGTGCCAGACACAGTCCAGGGGCTTGAAATAACATCAATGAACAAAATGAATTTTGCATTCTAGCAATTTTCCACTCGCCAATTGTGTCAGAGTGCTTGTTTTGCTCTATGCTTGCCAACACCAAGTATGACCATTCTTAAAAAGCCACAAGAAACAAAAGAGAAAAAAAACACTCCAGTAATTTGAATGATGAGAAATAGTATGCTGTTATTATGTTCCTTTGGATCTATTTGATTCCTAGTGGTGTTGAATTATTTCCCATACATTTTCTAGCTAATCAGCCAGCGATCCTATTTTTCTTTAAAAGCTCTTTAAAACCTTTGAAAATAATTAAAAGGAAGCAGGAAACTTGAAAACATTAAAAGACTTAACATGTACCTTGGGAAATAAGTAGTCCTTGGGTCAAATACATAGACTTTAGGAATTGATTTAAAGCCAACGAGCACATATAAGGCAACTCTCATGTGTTGAGGGGGGCTTTCTAGTTGGGAGCACTCTTACTCATTTCCAAATAATTTGAAACCTGCCGCCCTGGAGGAGACCTTTCCACCTGGCACTGATTCTGACATGAGCCAGAATGGTGGGATGCTTTTCTTCAACAATCTCTACATCTTAGTGTTGCCTACTTTTATTTATTTAACATCAGCTTTATTTAACATCAAATGTGGTTTACAAGCATTTCTATTTTTAAATGGTTTCACTTCTTGAGGTTTTAAATTGCACACTTTTTCTACCCTTCATGTAAAGCAGGACTTCTCTAATCCATTACTCCTCCAAGGGGACACAGAGATATAGTTGGAAAGGACACTATGACTATGTTAAATAAGAATTATAAATCACCCCTAGCCCTCCATAAAAAGTCCCCCCCCCCCCGCCTTTTTTTTTTTTTTTTTTTTTGAGTCGCTGACTCTGATGCCCGGGTTGGAGTTCGGTGGCAACATCACAGCCACTGCAGCCTCAACTTCCTGGTCTCAGGCAATCCTTCTGCCTCACTCAGTCTTCCGAGTAGCTGGGACTACAGGTGCATGCCACCACACCTGGCTAATTTTTTTTATTTTTATTTTTGTAGAGACGAGGTCTCACCCGCCAAGTTGCCCAGGTGTCAAACTCCTGGGCTCAGGCAATCCTCTCACCTCCGCTTCCCAAAATGCTGGAATTACAGGTGTGAGCCAACGTGCCAAGTTAACTTCCCAACATTTAATAGTGATTTCCTTTGAGGAAAGAGAGTCAAGAGTAAAGAGAGGAGTTTTCATCATCTTCTGTATAGTCTGCATTTTCTAACTTTAAGCAAACGTAACTTTGAGAAAAAAAAATTCCAGCAGGAGTTATCTGGGTCTGGAACTAATGTTTTTTAAATTTTTTACTGTCTTTATTAGAAAAAAACTGATAAAACTTTTATTATTTAAAACGTCCCCCAGTTTTATAAAACAAAATCTGGGTGTGAGTGTGTGTGTGTGTGTGTGTGTGTGTGTGTGTTGCATATGTCTGCAAGAATATAAAACCAAACTGCTAATATATGGGCCTGATTTAAAGATTGTTCGGGGGAACTGAAGAAATGAGTTTCATTTTTTATTTTATATACTTATGTATTGTTTAAGTTTGTCATAGTGAACATGTATTACTGGTCTACATTTTTTCAGAAAAAAAAAAAAAGCACATTGTTCCCCTGAGGCTAAAAGTAACATGTGCCCATTGTGGAAAATGTAGAGAAGTATAAAGGACAAACTAAAAATTACAATTAATGTGTTAGCATGCTTTCTTTCAGGCTGCCTTTTATGCATTTTTTGACATAGTTGAGTTCATACTGTATACGGTTTTGTATCCTGTTTTTTTCACTCAAAATTAAAATGTAAGTATTTTCCCATGTCATATTTGGATGGCCATTTATGCTTTTATCACAATTCAAGTAAATGGATTAGTTAGCCATCTCATTTAAAGATAGACATTCAGGTTGTTTCCAGGTTTTCCACATTAAAAATGAACCTCTAATGAACATCTTAGTAATGAAATCTTTGTATTTCCAAGTGTTTGCTTGGGATGAACTCCTACAAGTGGAATTACTGAGTCAAAGAGTAGATTCCTAGAAGTGGGATTAATGGATAGAAATATTTTTATGGATAACAAAAGCCTATACCAATTTCTCCCTCCAACATTGAGGGTCTCACCACTCTGTTACCAACATTGTGTGAAAAAGATGAAAACTTTTTCATCTTTCCTATAGACTAGTAGGCAACAGTGGTATCTCCGTGTTTTTATTATTGAATATTTTTTTCATATACTTATTCACCACTGGTATGTTTTCTTTTGTGAACTACCTGTTCCTATTTTTGTCCATTTATTGACCAGAATCTTATGGACTTTCTTATCAATTCAAAGAACTCTTAAGCGCTATTAACCCTTTATCATATTAGTTACAGATGAAAATATTTTTCACAAGTTTATTGACTTTTTAAAATATCTTGGCCATACACAGTTTTTTTTTAAAAAGGATAATTAGATTCGAACTACCGCTGAGTGCCCTCAGTTTGAGCCTGCGCCCCATGATTAAATTGAAGAGATTTGACAAAAGATCTGGAGGGGCCTTTTCAGCTAATCCTAAATTTAGCTCTGAGAAAAATGTGTGTGCCTGATATAAAGATTGTTTCGCTAGCTCATTACACTTTAAAATGATTTAAGAAGATGGGGGCAGGGCAGGGATGGAAGCCGTTTCTGCCAGAAATTTTTAGAATTCTGAGGTAAGAAGCCAATTCTCTCAAGTCTCTTGCGTGTTGAGAGGAGGAGTAAATTATGTGCAAGCCAACAGAACTCTTGATGGAAAAGTACTGCTCTGGGCTGCAGATGTGTGCATGGCTTGGTTTTAATTATTTTTTTCCCTCTCTCTATCCTTTCTTCTGCTCCCCTCCCCCTTCCACAAGAAAAAAGGCGGCCAGATTAGGAGGAGACAACCCTTCCTCTGTGGAGGCCTGCTTCTGTGCAGCCTGTTAGCACATCAAAGGCCGGATGAAATACCTAGGAAAGGAAGGGACCAAGCCTAGGATCCTACCAAACTCCCGCTTTTGTCTGGGCTCCCGCTCAGGGTTATTGTGACTGCCAAGGATAGCTCGACAGACTTCAAATAGAAGAACGCTGCCAAACAAAAAAAAACTTTGGACGTTATTTGGAGGAAAAAAAAAATGCGCAACAAGAGAACGTTGCTTGCTGATGTCTTGTGACTGAGCAAATCAGTGATTGCAAAAGGGTTGATTTTCCCAGAACAAACCCAATGTAAATCGGGCAATCCGATTCATTTCCCCAGATGATAGGGAGGGTTGTGCACTGACTTTAGCGAACCCGTGGCTGTATGCCCCACAGTATCTCGGGGAGAATTTGCAAAGGCCGTCAAGGAGAGCGAATGGGGGTTCCCAAGGTGAAAATGAGTAGTCTGGGGCTCTAAGATGAAAAATGGAGTTCGAAGAATTTGTTTCCTGTTGTCTAGGACAGCTTTGTGGTCCTGGGGGTGTTGGCCGGAGGAAGATGAGGAGCTTAGGAATGGAAGGTGGCGGAGAAGCCTGAAGCAAGAGAAACTGAGTCGCTGTTTGGCACGCATCAGGTGGCGAGGGGGAGGGAAGAGCACGTAGAACCCGGCAACGAGCAGCAACCGGGGGTGCCAAGGATGGCAGCGTGCCGCATCGCGTTCAGCTAGAGGATGGCGTGAGGCCGGGGCAGGTAGAACGGAGGAGTGGACTCTGCTCGGCCCCCAGGAGGGGTCGGCCGGAGGGAGGGGAGCTGGCCTCCAGAGGCTACGTGGGGGGCCTGAGCCCGGCAAGGCCGGGCTGAGCAAGGCTGAGCAGGGCGGGGCGCGTAGGTGGCCGCGGGGGCGGGGCTTTGTAGGCCCCTCCCCCTGTGGCTCCGCCTCCTCCCCTGGCTAGTTCTCCTCCGCCACCGAGCCCGACGCGCCACACGCTAGCTGAGAGGGAGGAGAAAGCAGTGAGTTCCGGAGCTCTGCCTAGCCCGGCCCAACCTTTGCTCCACAGATCATGGCTGCCAAGGATGTGGTGGCGACGGGCGCCGACCCGAGCGAGCTGGAGGGCGGCGGGCTGCTGCACGAGATTTTCACGTCGCCGCTCAACCTGCTGCTGCTTGGCCTCTGCATCTTCCTGCTCTATAAGATCGTGCGCGGAGACCAGCCGGCGGCCAGCAGCGACAGCGACGACGACGAGCCGCCCCCGCTGCCCCGCCTCAAGCGGCGGGACTTCACCCCTGCCGAGCTGCGACGCTTCGACGGCGTCCAGGACCCGCGCATACTCATGGCCATCAATGGCAAGGTGTTCGACGTGACCAAAGGCCGCAAGTTCTATGGGCCTGGTACGGCGGCCGACGAGGGGGGCACGGAGACAAAAGAAGGGGGTCCGGGCGCTGGGCTGGGCTGGGAAGAGGCGAAGGGGGAGCGGGGTGCCAGAGAGGAGGGAGGAATGGCGGCGAGCCAGGGAGGGCGGCTCCCCGGGCGGGCTGGGGACAAGAGGCGCTTTAGAGGGGCTGCGGGCCAGCCAGGGACGCGGATCCCTGGCCCGCGCTGACAAGTGCTGGGATGGGGATGGGGGTGGAGGATAAAGCTGAAGCGCTTATTAAGCCGGGTTGGGTGGGACTGCGAAGAGGGGCACATCAGAACACAGGCCGTTAGGAGAGTTTTCGAAGGTCGTGGATTTAGGGATTCCTGAAAGGAGGGGGTGGTGTCGGGTTCGACAAAGGGAAATGAGGGTGTCTCGAGGGAGGCATGGAGGGGCGGGAGGAGAGAAGGTCCAGATTTTGAGGAGACGCGAGAGGGCCAATGACGCCAGGAGTCTGTAGCCTTGATGGAATATCAGGGTGTGGGAGAAAGAACGCGGAGATGGGATTAGCAGCAGGTAGAAGCATTGTGCCTGGTGGATATGTGTGTGTATGTGTGTGTATGAACGCGTGTGTGTGTGTGTGTGTGCGCGCGTGCGCGCGAGCGCTGTGCGTGCATGCGCGGTGTGTGCGTGTTCAGTGTGTGTGATTTGTCACGGGTGTGTGGTGTGCGCGCGCGCGCGCGCGCTTGGAATGTGATATGTGTCAGGTATGTGTGTGGCATGTGATTGGTATGTGTGTGTGCGCGTTCTGTGTGTGGTACACGGGGAAAGGCTGGAAGGTGAGCAAGGGAGGCTCCGTAGGGAGAAGGGGCCTGGGTGTGGTGGACAGTGGGAACGTGACAAGCTGCTAAGGTGATACAGTACTGAATCCGTAGCAGCAGAGAAAGTACTAGAAGAAAAAAAAAAAAAAAAAGAAAGAAATAAAAATGGAGGGAGGGAGGGAGAAGTGGGAGGATCCTGAGAAACAAAAGGAGTAGGACTGTGAATGCTGCTGGGTGGGGGATTTCAGGAAAAGCCAACCAGAGGGGAAATGAGGGATGAATGACTGCTGAGCTGTTGGAGGGGGCAGGCTGATTGTGTATCAGAATCACCTGATGCGTCTGAGGAAAAATACAGATTCTCGGCCTAACCACCAGAACCTCAGATGAGTCTCTGGGGAAGATCCAGGAATCTGCATTTTAACACACTCCCTCAGGTGAATTTGAAACGCAGCCAGATTTGGAAAGTCCTGCTTTATAGAATAATTGGAGAAAGGAAGAAGAGGTATTTATTCCTCCTCTAAGCACAGGGTTCTCAGGGGGGTGTCCATATCCACAGCGCTGGCTTCCCAGTGGTCTGAAAGAGGAAGGAGTACAAAAGGCAGTAAAATGGCCAAACTCACTCCTTCCTTTTAATCTCCCAATCCAACTGATGAAAATCAGATGTGTTAAGGTTCTGAAGGAACTCTCCCACTAAGTTTTCCCTTGTGGACATTTTAGAATACCTGCTTTTTGTAGGCATGTAACTGTAAAAATAATTTTTAAATCACACTTATTTGTCGCTTTTATTAGCAGACTTAGAGACTTTATCAATAAACATAATCATGTAAATACCTGTTATTATTGAGCTAAATTATAAAGTAATCAAAATGTGTGCATAGGGCATCATCATATGATTGTAATTTGCAAAATCATTGAGAGGACTATCAGCCTATGCACAGAGCGCAATACTGGGAGTCAGACAACCTACGTTCCAGTTGTCATTGGGTCACTGACTAGCTGTGTCACCTTGTGCAAAGCACTGTTCTCTCTGTGCCTTAGCTTTCTCCCTAAAAAGTGATAAAGATGTCTCATTGTGAGATCACCAAGCCTCTACCCTGCACTATTCGATGAGACCATGACATCATGATACTTCCATGTTATAAAAGAGTCCTAAAAACCATTCAAGTGCATATTACTCTATGCAAGACACTGTTGTAGGTACTGGAATGATGGCAGTGAGCAAAACATGCAAATCTCTGCTCATAGAGCTTATGTTCTAGTGAATATACATTGTGGTGTATATTAAATGTATTCTCCAAAGACTTTTAACACCTTACTTAAGTATTCTGTGAGGTTTGCTAGATAGAGACCCACTCTACAAAGCCAGGGACTATAATTTCTGAAATGGTGAGGTTCAAACCAGTACAGTTTACCTATTTTCAAGCACTAGGTGCTACATTTCCATTAGGGGTATACATTTGCAAAAAATGTGTGGTTGGGGGGGTTCATCTTCCCAGTAGAAATGGCAGGATATAATGATGACTAAAAGCAACACTTTTTCTATGGAATCTTAATTGCATTCACCATAAAATTCATCTAATTTGTAAAAACTTCTTGGTGGCTTGAAGTTTCAGGTGACCAGGCCATGGTGAAACTTGATCCATTCGCATACTTGGCATAGTGGTTGCCTATCAACTTTTTAATGTCAGGGTTGCTCTTCAATCTGCCTTTGGGGAAACAACACATTGTTTAAAGTACACTGAATTCTCTTTTACTTGTGCAATATTTAAATAAGTCTAAACATCCACCTTAATTATCTACTGCTCTCTTAAACAAAAGTCCAATATAATATCATATATAATATCATTCTGAGTTATATAGTTATTTTGCAATATTGATCCAGCTTTTTTCAGGAAAATTTTAGTATTTTCAGTCTTTTCCTCAAACCCACCAAAGATAGAATGATGAAGTTGATCTCTTCCATGCTGTCTCTTATTTATTGACAGTGAAGGTTATGTAATACGTGGGTAGATTTTTGAACCATTGATACTCTTATAAAATGATTTCTCCTGCAGATGCCATGAGTTAATGTTTAATTGAATCTTGCAACCAAAGATCTCTATAAGACACCTTTGACTCATTAAAATATATCAGAATACATTTATAACATGATGTTTTTATTTATACATTAGTGCTTATTGTCTTAAGAAACCATAACTCTCACTAGTGTAGCTCAAGTGCTAGAACAGAATCAGGCTCCCAGTATAATATGCTAAAGTTAAATTCGAATTCCCTACCACCACTACCTCACGCCCACCCCCACCAGGAGATAACCACTTATGACTTTTTTATTAGCTATCTGAAAGTCACAGGAGATTGATGAAAATGTATAGAGTTTTGACTTTTAGTTATTTATAAGTTTAATGACAGCCAGTCTTTTGATGTCCCCTGTGTAATGATCAAAGTATCAACATCACTATGGTTTCTGAGTGGAGTTTGATAGTCAATATATGCTTTCTATATTGATGGGTAGGGAAGCCATTTTCTGTTCACAAACCACAGATAAATGTACTGTCTAATAAAGAATTGGTTTTTGGTTCTGTTTTGTTTTTAAAGAGGGGCCGTATGGGGTCTTTGCTGGAAGAGACGCATCCAGGGGCCTTGCCACATTTTGCCTGGATAAGGAAGCACTGAAGGATGAGTATGATGACCTTTCTGACCTCACTCCTGCCCAGCAGGAGACCCTGAATGACTGGGAATCGCAGTTCACTTGTAAGCGTTTTTAAAATTGTGCCTGGATCAAATTTCTACCAGTAATGGGGATTCATGGCAGAACAATAGTTATTACTAAGCAGCGTGAAACTTGGGCGCATTTTGATAGGCTCCTGAATCTTGGACGGATCAAGTTAATGGCTTGAAGTAATTGCAGCAGTGCTGAGTCACTTGCAATGATTACATACCAATTTTTAGCTAGTTCTCGGTGGAAACTGGGGTTTCTGGTTTTGATTTTAAAATTTTTGAAAAGTTTGCATACATTCCACACTAGTATTTGGTGTGTAGGGGAAAGGACAGTGGCCATCTTGGCTACAGAAAGAGGGATTTTCATAAGTCCTCTCTTGTAGGGCCTGCTGTTTAAAAGCAGCCCACATCTCTGTTGAAGAATGAGAGACTTGTATGCTGCAAAACAGCTTCTCTTTGAATCTATTTGAGCCTAACTATAGGCCTGATCTACAAATGATGCTTATAATCTGCCCAACAACAATGGTGTCTGCATTTTTAAAAAGAAAGAAAAAAGGAGACACTTGTTTCTGGCTTATGCTATGGGCTGAGGCCTTTGGGGGGAAGTAGGAATGAGGCATTAACTTCACATTTTCAGGCATTCAGGAATTGGTTTCTGTCAACCCTAAGTGTTTAAGTATCACTTGAGCAATATTTTACTGCCAAGAATTTGAATAAGAGTCTTTCTCAGCTTTTATGAAAGTGTATAAAGACCATGGCCATTCTTTTGAGGAAGATTTTCCCTTTAAAATGTAGTTTTCTATGTGCTGTTCTTTATAATCAGTTAAATATTACTTGTTCTTTTGGCTATATCCAATCATTTTCTTTGAAAATAATGCTGACTTCAGAGAGACAGTTCTGGGTTAATAATTAGCCAGATGTGGCTCTACCTTTGAGTTTGGGTATCAGGCAGACTAAGTCTAGAGGCAAGTCTTTATACTTTGAGAACATGATTCAGCTACCTAATATAATCCCAAATTTTTTGCATCCTAAGGATGCCTTTGTGACAATAGAATCTTCTATATAAAACTAATGAGTTGTAGTTTCACACTTACAAAGCTCTATTTTGTAGGACTTGCCTTCATCAGTGGGAGAAAAAAATGTGTGCTGTTTTTCTTTTAAACCTTACACTAAGGTAGCCCCACATACTGTTGTGACACCTCAGCTATACTCAAAGCCGGTGTGGATTCCCCTTAAGGCAGGTTTCCCCAGCGCCACCCGGCTTTTATTTGTCTTGCACAGTTCCAATTGTTCCCAGTGATTATTTTACACAAAAGCAGCTCTGGTTACCTGGTTAGACAGGTTGGTTACTCCTCGAATTTCCACTCATATTCAGAAAGAGGAGACTTGGTCCTCTTGGCTTCTGACATTGAGATGATTGACCCTGCATTAGTTTGGCTGCAACAATGTGGTGGTTTGCCTGCTCCATCTCTTCTCGGGTCTTTTGCATTCTGGTTTGCATTCTTATAGCTGTTTTCTCCCATCTCTCCTGGCTCCTTTACCACTTCCTTTAACCACCCATAGGTTTTTCTCCATGCTGGGAGAAACATTCTATCTCCTGCTCTCCTCTCCATCCACTTGACTATAATTTCTTCCCCTCACCATCAGACAAACTTCTTATAAGTTGTTGCCCCTAACCACTGCTTCATCTCTTCTCTATACCTCCTTCCTTCCTACAACATGACTTCTATTCGGGTTGAATGCTCTTTTCCAGAGGTTTTTGGGGAAACCCTTTTTTATTTCCTTGCCAATACTAACTTCACTGGTTCATTCCTTGTTGTAGATCTTCTGTCACGTGACCCTCCAGACTGGCTCCCTCTACAGAGTTCCCAGCTTGGTCCAGTGGGATCTCCAGTTTTCATTTCATTAACTCATGTTTCCAGTGTTCTTGCAAAGTGTCTCATATCTTTCCTTTTCCTTTTCTACTCCCATAGACATCACCCTCCTCCTGGCTCTGGTTCTTTTGCATCTGAATCTACATGCTAGCTCTCCTGGTCTTTCCTTATTGAAATTTGCCCTATACACCACATTGATAATATTGTTTAAAGCACTATTTTACTATGTCATCCCTTTGCTCATAAACCTTCAGTGCCCTTTACTACCTATAGGATAAGTCCAAACTCCTCAGACTGGCTTTTCAAATCTTTCATAATATTTCCCCACACTACTTAGCTGACCTTATCTCCTACTACTTCCAAATGCCAACTCTACTCCTGCCAACTTGGTCTCTTTATTGCTTCCCAGATATGTTCAGCCTTACCTATATGCATTTGTACATGGTGTTTTGATTTTCTGGAAATCCCTTCCTCCCAAAATCCTTCTACATATTTTTCTAAAACATGTCTTTCTTCCATTAAGTATTCTGTAACCCTTCTAACTCATAGCATATCCTTGCTTTTCTAACCACTCCCTGCATACAAACAAAATTCATGTTGACGTTACTTTGCATGCTCATTGGCAGACATTGCTACTTGTTTTATATTTCTGTCTTTGGAACAAAATTATTAATTTCCTGTTGGCAAGGACCATCATATAAACCACCTTTGTATCCTTCAAGAAGCCCAACACATTGCTGAGAATACTGTAGGCCTCTAATAAATGCTTTAAAATGAAATGTGTGGCCAGGTTCATTCCTGTAATCCCAGCACTTTGGAGACCAAAGTGGGAGGATTGCTTGAGGGCAGAAGTTTGAGGCTGCAGTGAGCTATGATCATGCCAATGCACTCCAGTCTGGATAACAGAATGAGACCCTATCGCTAAAAAAATTTTTGTCAATTAAAAAAAAATTAAGAACTAAATGAAATGTGGTACTGATTTTTCAGAAAGCACGAGAATGACCATTTTTTTTCTTCTCTGCCTCCAGTCAAGTATCATCATGTGGGCAAACTGCTGAAGGAGGACGAGGAGCCCACTGTGTACTCGGATGAGGAAGAACCAAAAGATGAGAATGGCCGGAAAGATGATTGAAGCATTCAGTGGAAGCATATCTATTTTTGTATTTTGCAGAATCATTTGTAACATTCCAGTCTGTCTTTAAAACATGGTGATTTCAATCTTCAGAAAAGTTTCGAACCTGCTGTAAATTTTTAAATTAACATCATTAGTGACACTGATAACATTAACTTGTCTTAGAATGCATGATATGTTTGTGTGTCACAAGTTCAAAGGGTGAGATGCAGTGCTGTAATACAAATGTTAATGCTGTTTTTCTTCTATCTGTAGTTAGTGCAGGCTGAATTTCAATGTGTTTTTCCAGAGAGACAGGTAAGACTTGGGTATTTTCCAAAACTGGTAAAAATGTCAAAAGTGCACCAAGAATAAGTCAGTCATGATGTTTTCTAAAGACAACAAATCCCTTTTTTTCTCAATTGACTTAACTGCATGATTTCTGTTTGATCTACCTCTGAAGCAAATCTGCAGTGTTCCAAAGGCTTTGGTATTGATTAAAGACCTGTCTGGTAACAAAATGAAATCTCAAAGCTGGGCTCCACTAGAAAGAAAGCTTACTTACTGGGTTTCTGGGCTGCTTTGTTCTTGCTGTCACATGGACACTCAGACACCCTCACAAATACAGTACTCTACATTGAGGATCAAACAGGATCTGAACATTCCAAAGAAAACTTTCGGAAAAACCACCTGGCTTGCCTAAAAACCTAAATATATGAGGAAGATTGGAAGACTATCTTCCCAACCCCCATGTTTGTGGTGGGACAGTGGTTATTTGGTCATTTTACACAATTTGAAATGAGAGGGACATACAGAACAGGAACAGGTGTTTGCTCTTAAGAGCCTTCATACGACACCCCTGAACAATGAGGAAACAGTACGGTCACTAGCCAAGTGAATTTTAAAGTAAAGTATATTCATAAGGTATTAGTTATTCTTCTGTTATTACAAAACTGTAGCCACTGCAAAAGTAGTAGTCAAATGTCTAGGTATTTGATATTGCTCTTTTGGTTAACACTAAGCTTAAGTAGACTATACAGTCGTATGAATTTGTAAAAGTATTATATGAACAACTAGTGAGATTTCAAACTCTTGTACTTGTAGTTAAATAGTCATTGTATTTTCTTGTGAACTGTGTTTAATGGTTTTACCTCAAATCAGAAAACAAAATGAAGTGCTTTGGTCAGTTAATAAAATGGTTTTGCCCAGTATAGTGTAATGGCTTATTTTAATTTAAAAAAAAAAAAAAAAACTTATTCTAAGGAAATCCGATTCAATCCTTTTCATTTACACTTTTGAGTGCAGGATTTTTTGTATTCTAAAAGAAAAAAGCAATATTTCATGGAGACCTCACACCACAAACCAAATACAGGCTTGTCCTGTTAAGAAATAGTAAATTGCTTTTTTGTGGCTTGTCAAATTTGGCCTAAGTCACAACTTTCTAAACTGTAGAAGGCAGACCTCCACCTTGAAGCCTATATAGCAAGATTATTTAAGGGGTAATGTTACTGAAGGTATTCTCATCACCAAGTGCGAAGGAAGGGTGTTGTTTTCTTTTAACGTATTGTCTGATCAGGAAAGTGTCAGGCTCCTCATAGTAGCAAGGTTAATTCACTTCATGTCAAAAGAAGGTTAACAGATTTTCATATACAGTCAGTTATATAAACATGGACAACCTATTAGTCCATGAATATTAGTATTTTGCCATCCTTAATGTTGAAATTGGCAGTTTTCTTTCAAGAGATATACTCCCCAAACCCAAGAAATTTCCATTTTTCATGTTATCAAACTACATTGCACGTAATTGTGTATGTGTCTGTGTGTTTTAATGTGCTCTTTTCCCCCCACTGGGTCTTATTCAACAACTATTTGCCTATTTTGTGCCAGGTAACCTGTTATGCCTTATGCTTTGGAAAAGTGGTGGAGGACAGAAATTGAGCCACATTTGCACCCTGAACTCTCATTTAGATGTGAAGATTAGGTTACTCCTTTTACAAAGTTGAACAGGTTTGTCTGAGGCTAAGAGGAAAACATTTGGTGTACCCAATCAACATTGTGTTGGTTCCATGTAAAAAGATATTACTATAAGGCAGGACTTTGGTCTAAAACTTCCCAAATCCAGCTAGCATATATGTAAGCCATATTATGTAAAAGGCACCATTCAAGATGAGGGGGTGGTTGTTAGAACCACCACACATCCAGTGGGGGAGGGAGGTGTCAGGTTAACATCTGTTTGTTTCCCACCTGCTGTCATCCAACCAGCTGTAGACACGTTCTCAGTAGCATCTGTGGTTCACAAGCAGCATTCAGTACATGTTTTCAGTATGTGCCTATCTGACTTCGCATAATTTAACATTCACCTTACTTCATAGGGCCAATTTTATACAAATCCTAGATCCAGAATAAGCATCCATACATTTCTTGCTGTTTTAGAAAGAGCACTTTGAACTTCACAAAGATCCTTTCAGCTCTAGAGTGCCCAGATTTTACTATAAGGTACCGTCTGCCTTTGTTACATAATACTTAGAGGCAGTTTGTTTTATATTTCATGTGAAAATGCAGTTAACTCTTGAATGATCAAGGACTGATTACTGAGGGCCCTAGCATTTCTGACTAGACTCCATGCCACATCCATTATTTTTGGGTATTGTATAACTTTTAACACTTCCATCCAGTGCTCCAGGAATGAAATAAAATTCCATGGAGTCAATTTTACTACCTTTTATCAGCACTAATAAAATGTGCTAAAGGGAGGGTAATCATAAATCTAAATATCATTATTTCAATTTATCAAAAATGAAAATAAATCTCCGGTCTTTAGTTTCATGATCTCTGACAGAGTCCATTCCTACAAGCTCGCATCAAAGAAAGAGTTACACAGAAATGATATTAAAATTAGATATCTATATCTCCATATAAAATATGAATGTGCAACATTCTCACCAATATATGTGGTAAATGAACAAAGACTCAATATTCACTATAACAACTTTATTTTAATATATCTGAAAATTAAATATAATTTCTCTAAACAATGCAAATGAGAAAAACAGATCAGCAACATTAGTGCAAAGCAGCCAACATACTATAGGTAGCAATTTTCCCCTCAAAGTGGAATTATCAGCATTTATTTTTAAAGTAATATTTTAAACAGTTTTGCAACAAATAAAAATACATTTATTTGGTTCTTATTTTCAAAATTACCAGGTTACATGGCTTTCTACCTGAGAAATTTAAGCAAATTGACAAAAATATGTTAACAGATTTTAACTTTCTTATAGCATTGTCAGCAACAGATATAAAATATTAAAACATCTATTTAAAAAGACAAAGTTTAAAGTTCAGGTCCTTAATAGGACATGAAAAAAAGATACGAGAAAATATTTTTGCACCATTTAAATAACAGCACAACAAAGAATAACAAGAAGGAGGCTATAGTCTTTACTAAGCCATTTAGTTGAAAGTACAGGATAAGTTCTCTTCCTCGTTTAAGGCCTACACACAAAAAAAGGTTGACTCAAATCTAGAATGCATTACCACAAGACAAAATTCCAGGGTTGTACAGAAAGTAAACATAAAACCAGTATTGTTACTTTCTTTTAGGTCCCAGGATGGTATTTAACAAACAAATGACAAAAATGTTACATAGAAATGACTTAGCACCAGTTCTATTACACAAAAAAATTGCACATGCTGTATTCTGCAGTTTAGTTTTTATGTCTGATTACTGAGCAGCAAATTTTTTCCATGCCTAAAAACTGCAAAGAAAAATTATCAGATGACAGAACAAAGTGAGATTTTTTTCAAAACAAACAAAGCTGCTTTCCATTACAAACCCATAATTTTTTTTTTGTTTCAATGGCATAAAACATGAAAAAATAAGAGGCAGGTTTTTGTTGGAGAATAATACCTAGTTACTGAAAGTTATCTGACAAAATACAAGCTGCTAGTAGTAATTTAAAAGGCTACTCTGGACAACAGTACTTTGAACATTAATAGTCATTGCTAGTCCTCAGAGGTAAAAAGGCACTCACCCCGGGAGCAGTTTTTTTTTTTCTTATTTGACAAGCCAAACCTAGTTTTGATGGGAGAGTCACTGGCTTGAAAATGGAATTGAACACAAGAGAGCCAATAATTCATTCACTGGTTACTATCTTAATAATAAACATGACCTGCTACGTTACAGTCATTTCTGAATTTTTGCATGTACTTACATAACTCTCTTAAACTGTGAATAGAAGACATCAATGAAACAACTTGTGACTCCTTTCAGATCAATGAGATTTTGTAGCCCCTTCAAATGCCAGGTTGGTCAAGAGACTGGTTATGAGCACACATTTTACAGCAACCACACTAACTCACATTCCACCTGGTTCTACCAGCTGGTATTTTTGTACAGAATATCAAATGAAGACGGTTTGAAATCATATGAAAACGTTGCCTTCCGCTGCTTCTGTGGATTAAAAATCACTTTTCCTGTTGCAGACAGTCTCTAATCCCATTGATGTCGTCAATTGCTATGTCAGGTATTGGGAAAAAAGGGTAATCTACTGCCCCTGAGGTCCTAAATCCAATGTAAGGCAGAATGAATCAACTGAGTTTTCTATAGAACATGCACTGCAGTAAGATGTAAGTCCTTAAGAATCTATAAAAGATCTCACTTTTAAAACATGTAAGAAGTCCAAAACCAGTAAGTAAAAAGATTAATTGCTTATATTAAGAGTCTACAAGTCCTGCACACAGTTTTTCCCCAGCTAGAAAACAATGGGCTTTTCCTTTGACTCTTCTAACTCCATGGCATTATTGAGGATTGAAGAGGCACTTGTTACTGTGTTATAAAGGTCGGTTTGTGGATACTCAGTGACTTTATATAAATGGACATCACCCAACTCTGAATGAATTATAGAAGCTGAAATGGAATACTGTCACATCCTCTCTTCTCAAGTGCCATTATTTGTGCTCCAGGACCTTTTGATATTTCCCTTTTCGAATCCCACTGGTTATGTCATTTCGATGCTACTGTTTTTATAGGATGGAAAGATATGGGATTCTTAAAAAACAAAACAAAACAAAACAAAAAACAACTCTGCTAATGGTTCTCTATTCATGTAAACCTCAAAGGACAATCTGAGCCTCTGAGTCACTTTCAGATTCTTCTTCCCAGCCTTTGTCTCTAAAAGTCAACTCTTAAGAACATAGCAGTAAGATGAATTTACTTCTGGTGGGTGCTCTTGAAACTTTTTAATGATATGAAGAAGTCAATTATATGTTCCAGCTGTTGTCTCTCTTTTTATCTATAACTATTTCTAAATAAAACTCAGGAAAGTTTGTTGCAACACATGGTGTATCTGACCAAATCAAAGAACACGTAAAATGATCCTTATCCATTCACTATTATCCTCTTTGAAGATAAATGATAATAAATAATGATGGTATGACAGCTAAAGAGCCATTAGATAGGGCTATCGCAACCACTCTCAATGTTAACCTGCTCCTTCACTGGCACCAAATTAAACTTGCAGTTGAACTGTAAAAGCATCTGTCCTTGGTTGAAGAAGTTTTGCAAGCACATTGTTTTACCAAGTTTTAGAATCTGGGTGTTTTGCATTTTTAAAGCTTGCCAGCACACCTGTAGTCATATTGATCTATGCTTTAAACTTTGGCAAGAGAAACAAGGTGTTGCTTTTAATCCCAGCTCAAGCTTTTAAATGCTGCTCTCTTGCCCCATAGTTGCTAACTACATAACTATATTCGGTTTTAACTTTTCTTCTTGCAACATGTTTATTGTGAATAAGTGCATTTCAAATCTAAGTGGCCATTAAAACATTTAAAAATATAAAGAACTATTGCAGTTGTTTCCTAAATAGCTTCCATAGCTCCCGTAGCCAATGTGCTCCTGACTATTATGTTGAAGACAATAAGCATAAGGATTGTACCTAAAATCATAAAAATTCTCATGTCTTTGAATCCATCTTGCATTCCAGTTATATGCTGGCTTCCAGAGAATCTGTCCTCCTTGGGGAAAATCACCTGAATAGTAAGTGTTAACACTTCTTGATGATGTTATTGGCACATGGAAGGGTCTTTGGTTCACTTTCTGGTAAAATGTACTACCACTAAACCTCCTCTTCTGTCCTGTGATGCCCTCTAATAGATCACTGGGGCTGGATTCATGGAAGTAGACTTCATCAGACAAGTATTTGGGGGTTAGCCTCCTTCTATTTTTGCTGTTGTTCTCTTCATCTCTAGTGTAACTGCTTTTACTTTCATGCCATGAATACCTCTTGTCTGGTGTCCTAATCCTGTTAAAGTATTCTTCCTCATCATCACGTTTCCACTCGGAACACAAGGTCTGCTGATTTGACCTAGTTTCCTGTTCACAAGTGATGATTTTGTCAGTCTCAAGAGGTCTTTTTTCTGGGGAGCTACGATATGTCGCCACAGATTTCTCGCTCTCATTGTTTACACTAAGGACTTCACTGAAACATTCAGAATCACTACTAATTTCCTCTAAGAAATCTGTCAACATCAAATCTAAGCCTATTTTCCCATTGGGTGAGGACACTTGGCTTTCCCTTGTGGATTTGGAATCGTCGATATGGTAAGCATGAGTCTTTTCCAACAGAGGGCTGTTGCTATCAGTTGGGAACAGCTGATCGCCAGCTTCACTAGCTGTATCCTTGCAATAATTTTTAAAACCATTACAACATTCTTCTGCATTATCCACTTTTCCCCTCTTTTGTGGTATACACTCAGGATCCTTAGTACAAATCTTTGACCAGTAATCTTCTTGAACCTGTTCTCCTCTTTTCAGGTTTTGCGTTTGACTCAAATAGGTTGAGTAATGCCTACGCTTTCTCAAATTGATCTGAAATCCATTTCCCTTAGAATGGACATCCCTCTGCCACTCACATGCGTCTGTCATGTGACTTGGTTTTATGTACACACGGGCATATTCTGGAGTTTGGTAATAGTTTAATAGATAATCAGTAAATTCCTCTGTTTCATAGAGCTTACATTTCCTGCCCTGGTCTCTCTCAGATAATCTGGAAGAATAGGGTGTAGTAGAACCATAGTGCTCTTCTTCCTCAAGAGGACCTTTAATTAGTGTAATGTATAAAGTAGTTTCCTCTATATCTGAACTGTCATATTCATCAGTTAATAATTTTCCAGTTCTCTCTTCTTCAGTTGAATATCTTAATTGTTTCTCCCCAAGATAGAGGGATAGAGGTAAGTGATTCCTAGCTTTTTGCTGCATTTTTGGTTTCTGTTTATTATGTGACTTGGCAACCTGATATTTTGACACTTCCTCTTGATTTTGAAGATGTAATGTGTTTAACTCTTCTTCCTCCTTCAGAGTTTCCAGTATGTTCATTGGAGCTTGATTAGCTTCAGGGCCTGTAATGCCAACCTTCTGTGTGTTAAACTGTGTGGATCCCTTTTAAAAAAAAAAAAAAGGTTAAAAATCTCACATTTAAAAAACTAAACAGATTTAAACATTCCAAAGAAAACTGGGCTTTCTCACATTGTTCTGAAGAGACTTCTAATACTGGGGATAGATCTAAATTAGGAACAATATTACACTGAAGAAATAGAGGGCACAAGATTAAATGTCTTAGTCTAATATGAGCTGGCCTTACTAGGTCTGTGCACAGGCTTACGTCAGAAGGCACCATGCTTTACATGGCCTTCAAAGTACATGACTCTCTTTTTATTTGTCCAAAAATCAATGAACCTACTATTCCAGGTATTGTGCTAAGAGCTAGATATACAAAGAGGAATAAGAAATGCTCTATAGCTCTCCCAGAAAATCCTAGTATAAGAAAAGACTGAGGGCTGAAATGTGGGCCTAAAAGGCTCCACTGGCTTAAAAGATCAACTGCCTTTCTGTTTTTCATACAGGTACCAGCCTCTTATTATGGATTGCAGGTGAGGATATCTTTGAGTTGCCCTGTCCCCAGTAAGAAGCAAGATAGCAAGTAACAAATGTGGCCATGACTGCAGTTCTATCTGTGGTTGTGTGTGTGGTGCTATCTGCTCTGTCCAACCACAGAATAGGTGAAAGGTACTGCCCTCAGGCCCCACCCTGCTGTAGGGTTTGTACTGTGCTCCCACTGACACCTGACACATATTAGGGCACAGTACCTATCCATTATCTGGGATTAGAACCTGAGGACTGCATAACCAGTGTAAGTATTTATGGGGCCAAGAATCAGACACTACACACATTGAAAGAGAGAAATTCTTTAGTAGTTACCCTGGGTGGTCATTAAAGTAAATTAAAAAAGATCCAGCTAGCCTTGTCATAAATGTAAATGTGAGATTTTTCTGATCCTGTTTTCACTAAGTTTGTCCACACTAACAAGAGGTCAAGACTGCAAATATAGTATATAAAATTAACTTTATATAATTCTAATGGCATTATATAATTCTAATGGCATTTACTATTCATATTTTAAAACACTAAATATGGATTTTCAAATTAACATTTTGGAACCCTTTCTGGCTTTTAATCCAGGACATATGCTGAGTCTGGCTATCTTTAGGAGCCCAGGAAGGAGAAGAAACACCTCCCAAAAAATGAAACTCTCCAAACAAAACAATTGTTCTGTGAGGTGAGAAATTCCTTATCAAACAGTTTAAAGCTAGACTAACATGAGTTTGCTACAAGTCTCAAGGCTCTCCCTTCTCATCCAAACCTGTTGCAGAGTAACAAACAAGAAAAACTAATTTAAAAACTACAAATCTAACACCCACTCCATCCATTTCATCCCTCTGGCATTTTCTGTTATGTCCATTAGGAGCTTAGAATAGTAGATAAACTAGCTAAATTGCTCTGGGTAACACTGTACTGAAGTTTAGAAACACAAAGTGTGTGTGTTGGATGGCAGAGTTGAGACACAAGTCCTTTAGAGCAGGAATCTCCAATTCTTAGACCACAGACTGGCACCAGTCCATGTCCTGTAAGGAAATGTGCGGCACAGCAAGGATGAGAGCAGGGTGGAGGGCAAAGGAGCTACATATTCTGTCAGATCAGCAGCGGCATTAGATTCTCATAGGATTGCAAACCCTACTGTGAATTGCACATGCAAGGGCTCTAGGTTGTCACTCCTTATGAGAATCTAATGCCTGATGATCCTCCCACCCCCACACCCTCCCCATCCGTGGAAAAATTGTCTTCCACGAAAGCAGTCCCTGATACCAAAAAGGATGCAAACGGCTGCTTTAGAGAATGTGGATATCCTTTTTGTAAATCTACTATTGGGGCTAGTAGAGATTGGCCTATTTAAAATAAACCCCAATGGATGCAGTGAGTCTTCCGTGGAGTCCGTTTTCAATAGGCTACTGCTTAAATGCAAAGGTAATTTATCAGAAAGGTTAGTATCTACCAAAATTGAAGAACAATGGGAAATAGCCTTACTGAAATTTTCCTCAGGAGTACCCGTAGCAACCGGAGGGCCTCAACCCGCCTCTGAGCCAGCAGGTACTTCCTCTCCTCCCACTCCTCTGAAGAGTCGGGTTCCTGAGGCACCTCAGATTTTGTTTTGTCCTTCTGTTTCCTTTGCCGGTGTCTGTCCCTTTCCTTCAGGGTTCGCCTCCTGACCCTGGCCTTCTTCCTCTTTTCCTGGGCTTTTCGCTCATCTTTTCTTTTTCTGGACAATGATTAAGATTAAACCATTCAGATGGTATTTATTAGGCATTTGAGATCCTCCCTCCTTCTGTCTGCCAGGGGAGGACAGACCATCTAGGTTTCCAGGAATCTACCACTGTTAACCCCAAGGCCTGACTTGGACAACTTGTGATAACAAAACAAAACACTGTTACGCATCAGTCAAAGGAGAAAGACTCATGATTTTTTTGGTCAAATAGAAGCATATACAGGCGAGTTTATGCAGATAGAGTATCAAAAAAGAAGGCTACAGAATTCAAAGAGGGGACCTCTAGCCCCACTTTCTCAAACTGCAAGCAGGGACCACAGGATTCAGATTTCACAGTGATGAGTTCATTTTTCTTGTGAAGAAAACCTTCTGTGAGTTGGTTTCAGATAAGCAAATAAAGATGAGTCAAGGTAATCAGAAAATCTTCAGGAAGAGAACTAGTCCTTGGCACATATTATTTAACATAGCACAGTACTGAAAAAACATACTGTCTTAGGAGAATTTGGACATATGGGCTTTTTTTTTTTTTTACTGCTATTTTCTAAAAATGAAAACTGTTTCAGTAAGGCCCTTATGGGAACGTGGGGAAGGGGAAAGAAGGGGCAATTACCCAAATCAGAATTTAGCCCAATGCTAGAGAACTATCTAAATTGGATGTTCAGCCTGGAATTTGGGGGGAAACAGTTATGTTTATGGGGCTTAAGCTCTAGCCAAGTTTTGCCAGACATGACCCCAAACATCTCCCATCACACCACTAACCAAAAAAGTAAAGGGCACACAGAAGAGTATTACTTAACTCCTTTTTATTCTGGGTGCTCTGTCACCCAGGCTAGAGTACAGTGGCATGATCATAGGTCATCGTCACCTTGAACTCCTGGGCTCAAATGATCCTCCCACCTCAGCCTCCAGAGTAGCTGGAACTACAGGTGCATGCCACCACATCTGGCTAATTCTTTTTTTTTTTTTTTTCGTAGAGATGGGGGTCTTGCTATGTTACCCAGGCTGGTCTTGAACTTCTGGCCTTAAGCAGTCCTCCTGCCAAAATGCTGGTATTATAGGCATGAGCCACTGCCTATCTCATTTTTTGAATGACTACAATTTACATGAAAAACTGGAGGAATAAATGTGCACGAGGAGGGGCTGAGGAGGTAAAGTTGGTTTTTAAAGCCCTATCATTCTGACTCATTTTTACCTTCTTCTTAGCAAACCCTTGGCAATCCAATAGCTTCTTCTGGGCTCAAATCCCTAAATTGGCAAAACAATGATAAGCTCAAAGAAATAAACACAGAGGCTCCTTAAACTTAGGAGAATTTAGGCCAACAAGAAAAATAGACCCAACAAATCCATGCCTTTTTGCCTATGGATTCGTTTGATAACTGACCATTTCATTGAAGAAGCTTTTCTAAACCTAAAAAAAAAAAGTTTTAATTGGTAGGCTAGGTAATGTTGGTAAATGTTTGGTAAATTGGTAAAATGTTTAATTTGGTAGGTTAGGACTCTCACTATAAAAGTTTCTAGTCCTTTTTTTCTCTTTTTTTATCATATCTTTTCAGACATCTTAATCTAGCTGGTTCCATTATTCCTCATTACTTGTTCTTGCTAACAGACACTTTTTTGAAGTATCTTGTTTTTAAAGGTTTCCTTGTTTTGGTTTTGTAACAGCATAATCCAAAGTCTGTAGCCCACAAATTCTTTATCTCGGCCTCAATGTTGTCTACCAAGTCTAGTCATTCCCACAAAGGGATTAATCCATAAGTCAAAAGAAAAAAGCTAAAGTTGATCCACATACCTTTCAGCCACTTCCTCTTCTCTCTTCTTTTCTTTTTTCCTTTCTTCCTCTAACTCTTGTAATTTGAGCTTTTCCTGATTTCTTCTCCTTACAGCTCCTTCACTGAAGTGTTTAGTTGCATCAAACATAACCTGCTCCAAAACAATTTGAAGACTTATTAGTAAAGTTTGCCAACTGGCTGAGTATGACATCCCAGGCCAGAGAGAAAAAACTAAGATAGTACATAGCAATTCAACATCAAATGATTTAAAACATTCTCTCTGCATCCCAGTACCCATACTATCCCACTGTTTCTCAGCCACCAGCCAAACAGTACTTGTAAGCTCCAGGATTTTCTTTGGCAGAACCCTTGAATAAATATATTAAATCATCACTTTAACTTTATACAATTTTATTTGTCAATATTACCTCAATAAAGCTATAAGAAACACTAAAGGAGCTTACTTAACATATGGTCATAGGCAGCATCACAATGCCATTATAGGCACAGGCTAAGAAATGTGAGTATATTACCTCTGGTTGGTTATAAAGATCAACTGACTGTTTTTAATCCCCAAAGACAAAAACAGTCAAGAAGTGGGGGGGGGGAGCAAAAATGCAAGAAAACTGACCTAATGAGATATAATATCTGACTATCATGATTATTAAACTACATTCAAATCTTGATATAAAGTGAAAGGCTGACTGAAGCACTACAAAAAAGATTTACTTAAAAAATAAAATAAAGTTATAAAAATAAAAGGACACAGAAGTAGCTATTTACATATGTATGAAAATGGTAAGCAACAAATTCATGATGATGGTTAGCTATAAGGGGAGGGAGGGCAATGGTACTGAGCATGGGTACATGGAGGGAGGAGTAGTCTCTCTTAAGACAATATATTTTTTAAGCTGGGCAGTGGTATATGAGTGGTCAATATAGTATTCGCTATATTGACTAGCTCATAATTTTAAAATATACATTTTAACATAAGTAGCTACTACACACACAGACATGCACATACACACACATACTCATACACTGGAAGCCGAACATCCAAAGTTATGCTAAAGACCGATAAAGAGAAGGAAGGTTCATTCACATCTTTTCCACTACTGGGTTAAGACTTGAAGAAGGAGATGACTAAAGCATGCAGACATCAATGAGGTGACATGACTGGATACACAGGCTGATTTTGAAAGTAGAGGATCCATGTGTGTTAGGATTATGTTTTAGCAGTTTACCTGACAGACATCCTGAAAATGTAAGTTGTGGCCCCAGGAGTAAGGAGGGAATACATTGCTCTTCATGTGCTTTCGGACTTCATATATTTCTCTCTCTCTCTCTCTCTCTCTCTCTCTCTCTCTCTCTCTCTCTCTCTCTCTTTTTCTCAGCAACTTGTCAAATATAATAAGCATATGAGATAGCTCCATAGGGGCCAAGAAGAATCCTTTAGACCTCAAGACATTGGGATGGAGCCCAAGATTATAACAACCATCACTTTAAATTCACAACTGGCAGCATGCCCCATAGCACAGAAGTGAGTGTTCAAATGAGGATTATTTTTCTTCCTAAACATCCATTTCTTTAAGGACAACACGAGCCTCTACATTAGCTATTGATAAGAGCCTGGTGGAGTCTAAGAAAGAGTACTCTAGATGCTTCCTTCTGGCTTTTAATTGGAATCATCTGAACAGTGGAAAATAAAAGAAACTCTGGCTACTTCTTACCTTAATGTTACATGCCAGAGCTTTCCCATCATCTCCTTTAAGCATCAGTTTCATTCCTCGAAGGGACTCCATGGCTTTGATAAAGTCAGTTGACTCTTGGTACTGTATGAAGGCCTCAAAAGTCTGCAAGCCAAAGCTAAAACCCCCAACTCTCCCACCAGTCATCACTTCTCTGTAGGGGTCAAGCATAGGGATATCCACATTCTTGATCTTCCCAAAACTTTCAAAGACTACCCGAAGGATCTCTTCACATGGCTTCTCCCCACTGGAACCTTTAGGTGCAAACCATTTACAGGGCAGACCTTCAAAATATATGGAATCTGGGCTCTTATCAGGGTCCTGCTCTTCAGTCCCATCACTCAGTGAGGCCTCGTTATCCTTGGGAAAGTGCTCCCACTCTCCCTGGGCATCTGTAGCCACTACTTTTAAGTCTTTTTTCAAACCATTTAGCTTGATGATCTTCCCATGTAACTTTGCCTTCAGTATCTGAACCAAACTTCGGGTTTCAGCCTCACCCTCAAATCGGATGAAGTCTTTTGTACTCTTGGAGAGTCGAACTGTGATAAACTGGTCAGGACAAATCAGGCTTTTCAACTGGTCAAGAACTTCCCAGTTAGAGAAGGGCCTCACAGGTTCTAGACTCTCTGGGAGCAATACGTTGATCATCAATTTTGCTATGGGCTTGAGGTAGAGGTGCTGAGCTGCACAGAGCTCGGTTGCCTCAGAGTTATCATATACCACCGTGACTGTCATGGTGTCCTCAGACCACCTTAGAGGGGGAAAGAGAAAATTTTGATACAAATGGAGCAATACACAGATTTGGATTGTGAAATGGTACTGGCATTGCTGGACTCGGGTCAAATTGGTAGGAGAAAGTATACCATGAGTAGAATTAAAATAATATCTCCCAACTTCTGAAACTAGTAAGTGATTATAGCTGGGTTGCAGAATACAAGATTAATACAAAAAGATCAATAGCTTTCCTATATACCAGCAATGAACAAGTAGAATTTGACATATAAAACTCGATACTATTTACATTAGCACGCAAAACAATGAGATACTTATAGAAATCTAACACAATATACACAAGATCTATACAAGGAAAATGACAGAACTCTAACGAAAGATATCAAAGAAAAATTAAACATGTGGTCCATGGATAGGAAGATTAAAGATGTCAGTTCTTTCCAACTTGGTCTGTAGATTCAAAGCAATTTCAATAAAAAATCCCAGCAAATTATTTTGTGGATACTAACAAATTGATTCTAGAGTTTATACGGAAATGCAAAAGACCCAAAAGAGCCAACTCAGTATTGAAGAAGAACAAAGTTGGAAAACTGACATTATCCGACTTCAAGACTTACTATAAAGCCACAGTAGGCCGGGCTCTGTGGCTGAGCCTGTAATCCCAGCACTTTGGGAGGCCGAGGCGAGTGAACTGCCTGAGCCCGCAGGTTCGAGACCAGCCCAGGCAACTTGGTGAGACCTCGCCTCTACAATAAAATAAAAAATAGCCGGGCGTGGTAGCGTACATCTGTAGTTCCACTTCTTGGAAGGCTGAGGTGGAAGGATCGCTGGAGCCCAGCAGGTCGACACTGGGTTGGCTGTGAGCATGCATGTCACTCCACTCCAGCCTGGGCGAAGGAGTGAGACTTCAACTCAAAAAAAAAAAAAAAGCCACAGTAATCAAGACAGAGTGGCATTGGTGAAAGAATAGACACATAGATCAATAGAACAGAATAGGGAGTACAGAAATAGGCATGCATAAATACAGTCAGCTGATCTGTTAGGGCAATGACAAAACAATGGCGCAAAGATAGTCTTTTTAACAAATGGCGCTGGTACAATAGGACATACACATAGCACTGGGTATGGCAATGGCTTTTTAGATGTAACACTAAAGACATGATCCACAAAAGAAATAATTGATAGGCTGGATTTTATTACAATTTAAAACTTCTGCTCTGCAAAAGACACTGTCAAGAGAATAAAAAGACAAGCCACAGACTAGGAGAAAATATTTGCAAAAAATGTGTCAGATAAAGAACCATTATCTAAAACATACAAAGAATTCTTAAAACTCACAAGTAAGAGTAAAAAAATCTGATTTTAAAATGTGTCAAAGCCTTAACAGACACCTCCCCAAAGAAGATTTACAGATGGCAAAAAGTATATGAAAGGTTGCCCCACATCATATGACACCAGAGAAACGCAAATTAAAATGAGATGCCACCACACACCCATTAGAGCTGCCAAAATCCAAAACACTGATCACACCAAATGAGGTCTCCTTAAGAAAGAGCATCACAACAGGGATATGGTGCCAAAAAAATTCTCATTTACTGCTGGTGGAAATGCAAAATACTGAAGCCATTTTAGAAGACAATTTGGTGGCTTCTTACCAAACGAAACATACTCTTGTCATACAACCTAGCAATTGTACTCCTTGCTATTTCCCCAAAGAAGCTGAAAATGTATGTCTATACAAAAACTCTACACACAATGTTTATAGCATCTTTATTCATAATTGCCAAAACTTGGAAACAACCAAGATGTTCTTCAGTAGGTTAGTGGATAAATAAACTGCGGTACATCCATACAATGAACTATTATTCAGCGCCATAAAGAAATGAGCTATCAAGTCATGAAAAGACATGGAGAAAACTTAAGTGCACATTACTAAGTGAAAGAAGCCAGTTTGAAAAGGCTACATGAGGCTCTTATGATTCCAACTATCCAACTTTTGGAAAAGGCAAAACTTGAGAGATAATAAAAAGATCAGTGGTTGCCAGGGGCTAGAGGGTAGGGAGGAATGAATAGGTTGAGCATAGGGGATTTTTAGGGCAGTGACTATTCAGTGTGATACTGTAATGCTGAATAAATGCCATTATACATTTGTTCAAACCCATAGAATGCTTAACACCAAGAGTGAACTCTAAAGTAAACTATGGGCTTTGGGTGATCATGACGATGTGTCAGCATAGGATCACCAGCTGTAACAAATGTACCACTCTGGTGGGAGATGTTGCTAATGGAGGAACCTAAGTATATATGGGGGTAGGGGATATATGAGAACTCTTTGTGCCTTCTGCTCAATTTTACTTTCTGTGAACCTAAAACTTCTCTACAAAAATAAATTATAACAAAAATACTAATATCTGATATTTATTCAAGAATATTTATTTAGTGTGATTTAGAGTTTTCAAAGAGGTTCTATATATTGTGCCTCAGTTTCCTTAACCATAAAATAGAGATAATAAGATTTAGGAGTAGATTAAGTGAGCAAGAACAGGTTGGTGCCTAGCACACAGGAAGTATTTTGGTGTTTTTGTTTTTGTTTTTTGAGTTGGTGTCTCACTCTGTCGCCCAGACTGGAGTGCAGTGACACGCTCCCAGCCACCACAGCCTCAAACTGCTGTGTTCAGGTGATCCTTCCGCCTCAACCTTCCAAGTAGCTGGAACTACATGCATGAGCCATCATGCTGGCTAATTTTTTGATTTGTTGTAGAGATGAGGTCTCGTCAAGTTGTCTAGACTAGTCTCAAACCAGTGCGCTCAGGCAATCCTCTCAACTCAGCCTCCCAAAGTGCTAGGATTACAGACATGAGCCACTCCGCCTGGCCAGGAAGTTCTTAATAAACATAAGCTATGACTATTATTTATTAGCCATGGTAGTCTTACTTTATCTCATTTGATTCATGAAACAACCTTTGAGTAGATATGTGTATGCCTGTTTTACAGATAGGGAACTTCAGACAGATTCAGGAAAATTAAATGACTTACCTATACACCGAGACTCCAAGATTTCCAATCTCCATTCTATTGTTCAATTGATCTCAAATGTAAAGTTCCATAAAAACCTGCTGGAGATGTTACAGAAATAGGGCAAGGGTGACACATTAGTTGGGACATGCACCCAACTAATAGTTCTAACCCATGCACCTGATTTAGCATCCTTTGTCTGGGTTGGTTTCCAAATCTTCAATGAATATATCTACTCTTATGCTTCCAGTCAATGTAGGTTCATGGACTGTACCACTTTGGTGGTTGATACTAGGGGAAGCTACCCACGTGTGGGGAAGTGGGGCTATGCATGTGTGGGGGCAGAGATCATATGAGAACTCCATACCTTCTGCTGAGTTTTCCTGTGAACCTAAAGTCAATAGACTTTAACTAAACCAATCTCTAAATTCAGTGGACACAACCACTTATTTATTTATTTATTTATTTATATATATATATATATTTTGACTTGGAGTCTCACTCCGTGGCCCAGACTGGAGCCACACCCACAGCCACCCCAGCGTCCATCCGCTGAACTCCAGAGATCTTTCCACGTCAGCCTTCCAAGTAGCTGGAACTACAAGCGCCCGCTACCACACCTGGCTAATTTTTTGGAATTTTTATTGTAGAGACGCGGTCTCGCCAAGTTGCCCAGGCGGGTCTCGAACCCGCAGGCTCAGGCAATTCACTCGCCTCGACCTCCCAAAGTGTTGGGATTATACAGGCTGAGCCACCGAGCCCGGCCGAGACAACCAGTTCTAATGAGTGATAAAAGTTAATTTACCCTCTATTTGGAACTGGAAAAACCCTAAAACATGAGTGCTTGCTGGCATTTCATATTAACAAACTCTTTGAAGCTGTCCCAAGGCGAATAAGATCAGTAACGCTGGGAATTAGGGATTTAAGCTTCTATTTGCTTTATTTTTTTTTGAGTTGGAATCTCACTCCGTTGCCCAGGCTGGAGTGCAGTGGCACACTCACGGCCATCCCAGCGTTGACCTGCTGGACTCCAGCGATCCTTCCACCTAAGCCTTCCAAGTAGCCAGAACTACAGGTGCACTCGACCATTTTTTTAAATGTATTGTAGAGATGAGGTCTCACCAATTGACTGGGCTGGTCTTGAACCCGCGGGCTTAGGCAACCACTAGCCTCGGCCTCCCAAAGTGCTGTGATTACAGGTTAAGCCACTGAGCCCAGCCCTATCTGCTCACTTTAAATAGCACTTCCCAATAAAGGATATTTTTCTCAGTAGATACATTCAGATTCTATGTCACCAAGTTTCTCAATAATTGTAGGGAAATTTAGACCCAAATATATATGGCTAGATGATGAAAATTATAATGCAAAATTTACTACTAAATCCTGGTTAACTTTATAGGTGCAGATTTAATAATGATCCCTAAAGAACAATCCAAACCAACTTCATTTAGAAGACAAGGTTTGTATAGACTGATTTTATAAAAGGTCACCAAAAGCAGTATCTAAAATACTAACTTCTAGGAACCCTTATGATAGCAACACTGAAATGGGATGATATGAGAATAAACATGTCTTTTTTTCCAACAAAAGCATTATCTAAATAGCAACATGGAAAAAAATCAGCTAGTTCGCTGCAATGTGCAGTAAGAGTCAGGACTAAGCTCCATGAGGAGAAAAATTAATTTTCTATTCAATTAAGATATACTGAACTAGCCGGGCTCAGTGGCTCAGCCTGTAATCCTGCGCCTTGGGAGGCTGAGGTGAGTGGATTGCCTGAGCCCGCGGGTTCGAAACCCACCTGGGAAAGTTGACGAGACCTCATCTCTACAATAAATCAAAAAATTAGCCGGGCATGGTAGCGCGCGCCTGTAATTCCACCTACTCGGAAGGCTGAGGCGGAAGGATCGCCGGAGCCCAGTGGCTCGAGGCTGCGGTGGCCGGTAGCAGCCACTGCACTCCAGTCTGGGCAACAGAGTGAGACTCCAACT